CTACCTTTAAGTTGTCAATATCTGATTTTTGCTCATCTTACCATTGCAGTCCCACTTACTCCTTTCTCCTGGTTCCTTTGTTCTAGCTGTGTTGCTGTTATACTGTTGCTACTAGTCTCAGTTTGAACAATGTTAAGAATTAATTGTTTTATCAATTAACTCTATTAGTGAAATGAAAGCATATCATTGTGTCTGAGATATACCCAAAGTTGTTCTTAACACAAATTGAAATTCTTTCCTTTTTCACTGAAATTAAATGTATTTGAAAGGAATTGTCCTCAAAGGTCAGATATTAAATAATTCCCAGGTAGATTTATATATTTAATTTAAAACACTGGCGTTATTTCATTTTGTGATGAGAGATGTATCAGAGTTAGCAAAAAATTATATAATCATTACCAACAATATTATTATACACTTGATTCGGGCATTATTTCAACACATTCTAAGAAGCCTTGATAGAATAAGTGTATTTTAGTACTGAATCGGTGAGGTTCTAGAGAAAATAAATTGTAATAATTAACAATTTTGCAACATAGAAACTCATTTTACAAGGTTGCTTTGAAATTGTTTTAAATGTACAAATTTGTATAATTTGTCTCTTTACTATAGTATGTTAGACTGGAAAAGACCTTAGGGATAAAATATGTAATTTACTGTCCTTATTTTATAGATAAGGAAATGAAATCCTAAAAGGTGAATTTAGTTAATTGGTGAAAATTATACAACAAATTAATTACAGCAGTCTATACTGTATAACCCAGGGCAGGATTATCCCTGTAATAGGAAGTAGAAGCTATTACTAAAAATCTGTGTAGAATAAATTAAAAGAAGGGATGATAAGAAGAATAAATTTAGCTTGCCAAATATTATTAATTAAAGTTTTAAATACTTAAAATTTATTTAACTTAAATAAGATAAATTTCTCAGATAAAACTTTATTTTACTAATGAACAGTGATTTTCTTAGTAATTGATGAAGGCGTATTGATATCAGGACTTTAAACCAAATTAAGACTTACACAGGACGTTTAGATGCATAATACAGTTTGAACTACATAAGTGTATGGAATACGATTTGCCTTGATTATNATTTATTTAACTTAAATAAGATAAATTTCTCAGATAAAACTTTATTTTACTAATGAACAGTAATTTTCTTAGTAATTGATGAAGGCTTATTGATATCGGGACTTTAAACCAAATTAAGACTTACACAGGACATTTAGATGCATAATACAGTTTGAACTACATAAGTGTATGGAATACGATTTGCCTTGATTATGGAGTATAATGATTTGAGGGTCAGTTTTACTCCAGATATATTTTTAATTGCAGATTCTATGATAACATTGTAAAATTCCAAGTTTCCATAATGTTAGGATAGGAAAATAAAATATAAAGTGTCAACAAATATAGTTATAAATTTGGTTTATATTTAATCCCAAACTCAGGGAAAATCGGTGTCTAAATAAATTATTATTTTAATAATTTTTCTTAAATTGCTAAACTCTGAGAGGCGAATAGCTACATATAAATAGAAGAAATGGCCGAATCAAAAAATGATAGAGATGAAAGTACC